GTCCTCTGTAATTATTTAAAGCTGATTTGTAACCAACCACAGTTTCGAATCAGATCAGTAAATAAGTAAGATATAATAGAGAAGTTTTCGGAAATTGTAGCTGCAGCTGGCGAAATGTTTCTCGAATATTTTCGTGGCTGAACAGGGACACTGAATAGCTTACTGTAGGTGTAGATAGGCTGTAAAGCTATTTAGGTTCCTGCTGTCACCGTACAGCCTGACAGGGACCTGCAACAGTGTGCAGAACTGCACTTTTCGTGACTGTACAGAAACATTTTATAGCTTACTGTAGGTGCAGAGAGGCTGTAAAGCTATTTAGGTTCCTGCTGTCACCGTACAGCCTGACAGGGACCTGCAACAGTGTGCAGAACTGCACTTTTCGTGACTGTACAGAAACATTTTATAGCTTACTGTAGGTGCAGAGAGGCTGTAAAGCTATTTAGGTTCCTGCTGTCACCGTACAGCCTGACAGGGACCTGCAACAGTGTGCAGAACTGCACTTTTCGTGACTGTACAGAAACATTTTATAGCTTACTGTAGGTGCAGAGAGGCTGTAAAGCTATTTAGGTTCCTGCTGTCACCGTACAGCCTGACAGGGACCTGCAACAGTGTGCAGAACTGCACTTTTCGTGACTGTACAGAAACATTTTATAGCTTACTGTAGGTGCAGAGAGGCTGTAAAGCTATTTAGGTTCCTGCTGTCACCGTACAGACTGATAGGGACCTGCAACAGTGTGCAGGGTTACACTTTGCGTGACTGTACAAGAACATTTTATAGCTGACTGTAGGTGTAGAGAGGCTGTAAAGCTATTTAGGTTCTTACTGCCACCGTACAGTCTGAGAGAGACAGAACGGAGTGAGGGGTCGCTGTATCATGAATTCCTAGAGCCTCTCGATAAACCCTCTCCATCACAATATACCAGACGGTGGGCTTATTTCCTTCTCTCCCATTCCCTTCTAATTATCCGTTTCTCCCGTCTTCTTATTCTCCATTATATTTCCTTTTCTTTCTTCCATGTCCTATTCTCTCCTTGTCATGTTCCTGGTCATTTTTCTACTATTCCTTATCCTTCAGCTGCTTCTCCTTTATCACAACTTCCTCTACATCCTCTTCCTCATCTCTTTTGCTTCATTTTCTTCTTCCTAAATATTCTGACCCCCCTGATAAGCCCAAAACGCCTTCACACCTCATGAACACAGTCATCATTCACCGGAAAAACTTTTATCCGCCTAACGAAGCTATCAGTAGTGTAGACAATATACCGTCACGTGACAGTGAGCCATAAACTGGAAACGCGACGCACCTGATGCAGCGTCCTGGCTGTAACCTCGTGTAATTGAAGAAAATCGCGATAAACATGCTCAGGATCAACGGTTAGGGCGCCGAGATTTGAACCCAAGGATTTACCGAACGCGAAGCAGGAACACTGACCACACCAACGCAGATCCTGATATGAAAATTATAAAAAAAAAATACAAAGCAAATAAACCACGAAAAGAAGGTGTGAGGGAAAACTGTTCAGAAATTATTCTTCTGTCATTCTATTTTATGGTCATCGTCAGCTTCTAAAAATAATTCCACGAAATCTTTTAGCACGTCACAAAGTGGCCGAGTCGATATTTAGACCCCGTCCAGCTTTACGAGCTCCCACCTCGTTAAAGTGCCGAAGAGAGCGTTTCAGTCGCATGTTAACACGCGGAAACAGATGCAGTATTAAACAGCCATGTTTGTATAATTATTTCATACTTCTGAGAGATAACAAAAGATAGTTTGCCCCTTTTATGGGGATGTAACACGAAAGCGCTGCAGGTGACGTCATCATTCTGAATATGCCTGAGCACAGTTTGTTTACACTACGAACTTAATATAAAGTAATTGGATGCGAGAGGCGTTAAGCAAACTTCAAGACCACAGCCGCCATTCAAACCCAGACAGGGAATAACAACATTCAGCTTCATTTTATTACACCTAACACAAAAACACATAAGAGAACACACTGAGAGCTTCATACTGCACTGTTTATGTAGCTATTGTGTGTGAAGGCAAATGACACGTTAATTTCATCACAACGGATTGAATATTGTGTCTTCGCGGAAGTGACGTCACTGGGCAACTAAGTGCGGCGGTAACGTTCCAAGACTCACATTCAGAAGATTCTGTGTTTGAACCTCAACCGGTACACGCGGTATGTTGACTAAGGTTTCGTGTCTGTCCTCATTTCTTCCAGGTAAATACCACGATATCACGAGGGAGAGTCAGTAAATTGGACAGAAATGGAATTAAAACAGCTGTAATGGAAGTAACAGGTTTCCAATGTGAATCACTAGGTAGCAGCACAGTCCAGCTTCATGAGTCTAGGTAGCAGACGCGCAGGCGCATGTTCGAAGGCAGGTTTCAGTAGTCAAAATGGCGACCGTACTTGAGGAATTTACTACCAAAGAGCAGTGTTCTGTTGTGTGATTTTGTTGGCAAGAGGTCTCAATGCAAAGGATATCCATAAATAAATATTTCCTGTTTGTGTTGGGAAGTGCTTGTCGCTTAATAAGGTTCACAACTGAGTGGCAAACGCTTCGCTGATGATGTTGAAACGGAGGTGCGGAAGTGGCAACATCCGAAAGACTTCTAAACTGTGGGTTTCGACGTACTGGCAAAGCGACGGGACAAGTGTATCAATGTTGGTTGTTGACATGTCGGAAAATAAATGTTTTTACCAAGTTCGCATATCCATGTTTTACGTTTTATGTCCATTTGCGAAATATTTACTGACTCTCACTCGTATTAAAATGGGTAAATTAGTATTTCACCGTAGATCATTAAGAGTTACCATTGCAGTCAAGAGAGCATTTAGGAACTTCATAAACAACTGAATTCGAGTCCAGAGATTATATTCTAACATTAGTAGCGTCAACCCACTGGGTGTCAATGTAATCGGCTCGTAAGTTCGCAGATCCACAAGGCGGGAAGTCGTAGGCTCAGGTACGACTGCTAAAAACGCCTAAGCTGATAGTGGTTAAGAACACTTGAACAAGAAGACCCACAATGCTTCCCTAAAGTGACCTCCAAAAAGCAAGGTTAATACATCACCTGAAAGACAGTTTATTCCTGTAATCATCATCACACCATTCCTGACTGCCATCTACTGATAAACTGCTATACTACTCGAGCGTGATGGTTTTAAAGCCAGTACCGCGAGCCGATCTATTCCACATATGGCAAGCAAGTGGCCAAAATACTGTCCACATCAAGAGTAACAGTCAAATATAAATAAGGCCCCTTAAAGTTCTATACATGTCGTTACAGGTAAAAGACAAAATGTTTTATAACTTGGTATCAATTATGGGTATTCCCCAATGCCGGTCCTGAAATAAAACACATTTTAGGCAGTACATGACTATTATATACAGCAGACATGTCCAACGCGTCGATCGCGGGACGATTTTTGGTCGATCTCATAGGCCTATAAGGAAATTATATGTGAAAAGCATGTAAATTCGCTTGTGATATAATGTGATTATATTCAGATTTTGAAGGGAAAATACGCGTTAAAGTAGTCTGTACTTTCAGTGTGTGTTGCTTTTACAACAAACATCATGTGTCTTGTTATTTTTACCAATGTTTTTGCTTAAAGCGAGGTACGACGATAAGAGGGGGTGGTAGATCACTGCAAGTTTTGACAGTAAAAAGTCGATCACAACCTATTTGAAGTTGGACATGCCTGATATACAGTAACAAACACATTTAAATTCAAAAACCAAAAATTTCTGCCCACTAATCTGGCGAACGAATCACACCATTCAACAAACAAATATACAAATCAGTTAACGGAATATGAAAGAGGTGCATGCTTAAAAGAATATTGTACAGTTCGGTAGATAAATTAACTACAGTTCATCTGAGAACTTCTCTAAAAGAAAAGAATAAATGTGAAATTCCCATCTGCCTCTAGCTCTCTACGTGTCCAGGTTTGTCTCTCGTCTTCGCACATACAGGTCACTGGAGGCGTGAAGAATATACAGAGTGTCCCAGGAGGAATGGACCAAACTTCGGGAGGGTGTTCCTTATGTTAAAGTATGCCGATATAACCCAAAACACCTATGTCCAAAGTTGAACGGTTACGGAGATAATGGCCAGAGAAGTGTCAAACTTTGACCGGGGTTGCACACTTGTTGATTACAAAATACATATTAAAACTGGCAGGAATATGTGGATTCTGTAATGTTAATAATGTACGTAACATCAAACTAACTTGTGAGTGACAGGAAGCCATAAAAGTGAAGTACAAAATACTCGCTCGCCATGTCATAATTGTCCTTAGGTTTCCAAGCAGTATACATAACACATGACTGGCGAGCGATGACGTAACGTGCTGACTGCGCGTTCTGGTATGAGCCAACTACATAAGCACGGCTAGGGAGTATCATCGCACTCAAGGACAAACATAGATAAGGGCTCTCAGCTGAGAGGTACAGAGAGGTACAGTGCGTGGACCTGCCAGAAGACCACACTTTTCTTGGGCCATTATCTCCGTAACCGTTCAACTTTGGACATAGGTGTTTTGGGTTATATCGGCATACTTTAACATAAGGAACACCCTCCCGAAGTTTGGTCCATTCCTCCTGGGACACCCTGTATATATATATTCGCACATATTGTACAGTCCAACGTAAATAAGAATCATCCTTACTAAACTCTCCGTAAATCCATAATAACTCATTCTAACTTAGCCCCTTGAAGGAATGTGGCATGCAGACCTGTTGCTAGCCAACGACCACGAAACAAACTATACAACGGTCGTTGCTAAGTAATGTCACTGTCACCGTTGCGACAATAGAGCTACATAATCTGAATTAACCAATATGTAACAAGTTTTTCAATTTACTCTGAAGTAAGCGCTTGAATATGCTGCAGTGAAGGATATATTCTTAATTTTTTCATAGTACACAACAGTAAGATGTGATTCGTTCGTCAGCAATGTCCTTGACAGCGTTATGTTACTTACGTCGAACGCCCCTTTGATGATAGGTCCAGCCTGACCGACATATAGCGTTGACGCCGAATCGAAGACAAGTTCCTGTGGAGTTCTCTTCGTGAGGACAGTGTCGTACTCTTGACAGTTGAAGAAGAGCGTCACATTATCGGCCGTGACACGCAGAGCGAAGCGTGTCCACTTCTTTACAAAAGACGGCACAACAAAACTAGCGATAGTCTGTGAAGCGAAGTTACTATTCACATCGGTGTACAAGAGACTGATGTTTGCGCTTCCGGGCTGGGAAGGTCCTGCAGGTGCGATCTGAACTCCGAGTTGCACCACTGTCTCCAGAGGATTCACCACAGAAAAAAGGAAACCGCCTTCAGCTGTGTTGGGTCTCACTGTCGCGACGATAGAGAATTCACTGTACAATTTCTCTGGAATGAACAGACGATACGGCGACTTTATGTCAGAACCTGGCCGCAATCCGAAGGCTGGAAAGCCGTCCAAACCGTTATCAAAGAACTGTGTCTTAGGATCGTCGAACGGAATCTTGATTGCCTGAAGGATGTCATGGTCTGGGATTATATCTGCAACAAACAACATTATAACATTACGTCACTAACATACAACAATCTGCGAAATGTGCATGCATAGAGAACAACCCATAATCTTTTTAACGCTTTGAATCCCTGCCTTTACTATATGTACCACCTGCTTTAACGCACTAAAACTCTGCATTCTGCCCCACAGAGTGTATTTGTGTGCTCCATATGTTTCTCACAAAAAACAGCGACTGTTTCCCTAAACAGCATTAACCGGTTGGGCTTTGTAGCGGAGACGTAATGTGTTTCCTGTGAGGCACGGACTGAGTTTTCTGCCCACGGAGTGTATTTGTGTGTTCCGTGTGGTTCTCACAATAAACAGCGACTGTTTCCTTAAACAGCATTAACCGGTTGGGCTTTGTAGCGGAGACGTAAAGTGTTTCCTGTGAGGGACGGACTGAGTTTTCTGCCCACAGATTGTATTTGTGTGTTCCATATAGTTCTCAAAATAAACAGCGACTGTTTCCCTAAACAGCATTAACCGCTTGGGCTTTGTAGCGGAGACGTAATGTGTTTCCTGTGAGGTACGGTCTGAATTTGTATATATTACTTACAAGAAATTCAGTTCTTAAGGCAAAGTCAAAAGGGTTAAGTATGGAGCAAGCATCGAGAGTGTGGGATATGCTTCATTTCCGTACTGAAACACTTCGCAACGCACAGTACGAGAGCTGTCAGCAAGCCACAGAAGTCTTCTGCAACTGTTCGTCTCCTGAAGCCCACCTTTGTTTGCAGTTATGGACACTTTATTTAAACAGACGAACAAGGAAGAGCGTGACACTGACTAATTTAATGGAGAGGGAAAAAAATTCTTAAAGGTCACACTTTGACGAAATAGAAAGTTAACTGCATCATGACTGCAGTCATCTCCTACTCTCAGTGTCAGGTTGCCTTCTGCACGTGAAACGGCTCAAGGGGCAATTATGGTACTAATGTCACTACAGTTCCAATTGGGCAGTTCCATGGGAATTGGCTTTGAACATCATAACGCTGACGTCACAAATAAGTAAGGATGGCTAGATATGCAGACCAACACAGCTTGCAAACATACACACACAATACAAATATACATACACACATGGATGAATATGTGGACGGGCGGGCAGGCAGGCAGAGAGACAGACAGATAGAGAGGGAAGTAACTAAATTTTCCCTGATAATTTCATTATCACTAATAGAAAGTAAAATTTACAATAAGGAAAATAATTATAGACTGTGATGCTTATGGACGGTATCCGAGAGAGTCAGATGGGATGCGTGGCAGTTTGTAAACACGGTCACTGAATACTGATCTTTCCATCATGGACAGATACATACACAGACAGGCAGACAGACAAAGAGAGAGACAGGTAGGACGGATACATTGATAGGCGGATGGATGGGTGAATAGAAGCGATGGAATTAGAGAAAAAGATAAGACAGGAAGTAGAGACAGAGAATCGAAAGGAGAGAATAGCAAGTCAGCAAACGAAGAAACAAACAAACGAAGAACAGATATTTCGGAAGCATTTCCAGACACCAGATCTGACCAACGAACAGCCGTGTCATCTTACACTTAAAGCACGGCGAATTACGTGTCTAGCAAGGGGAACACGGGCCCGATGAAGTGCCTGAGTAACGACAACCCGCCACACAGAGGAGAATGTCTGCTTGCATAACATACATGCTTTAGTTCCGAGAGAAAGGGAGAGGAAGAAGAGAACAGCGAGAGCGAGCGGGATGGATGATGCTGGTTTCTCGTCACTTCAAAGTGCGATGAGACATCAGCAGATGGCAGCAAAATGTAGCCAGAGCACGCATGACTTGAGCTCGGCGGGAAGCATTTAACTATATTATATTATATTTTTAATTGTAATTAATTTTAATTAAACGACGCTTTCAGTCTCGAGACTACATAGCCTCGGTAACAGGATTGTTACTGAATATGGAGCAGTCGGCTGAACAGAATATATCACTATTTAATAACCATTATTTAGCTTATCGCTATAATAATTGTAATTATAAAGTTAAAAAGGTGAACTTGTCCCTGCGCTTAACTAATTAAGCACTACACCATGAAGATGTACGGGGGAGTGGGTGTATAGATCCACATTTTCTTGGCCTCGGCACTAGCTGGAGGTGAGTGGTCAGCTTCATGCCCCTGCCACTTTACCCCCAAGGAAAGAGCCCCTGATACCCACTGGATATCACGCTGGGTGGGCCCCAGATCCGGTCTAGATGATATGGAGAAGAGAAAATTCTGACCCTACTGGGACTCGAACTCTGACCTCTCGGTCATCCAGCCTGTAGGCAGTTGCTATACCGATTATACCCCGGCTCGTAGTCATTGTAATTGTCTACTTTTATAATTATTAAGATATTCAGTCTTTGGAAGGGTTAATGTAACTACAGTAAAACTTGGTTATAGCAACATCGGTTTCTGCGACACCTTGTCTATTGCGTCAAATATTCAATGGTACGAACTAATTCCTCGTAAAGCAACTGTTTTTATACCTTGCTTAGTACGACATGCACAAATGCATCAACCTCGTATGTAACGTCATTTTCATTCCTGAATTTCTCTGATATGGACATTGAACGTAATTTAGAAAGTGTGTATTGGGCAAGTAACAGGAAACAGATGAAGATAACTGATTACTGTACTCGTATCTAGGTACAGTAAGGCACAACAATTGATGTAATCTACTGTAATTTGGTGAGTAGGCCTACCTTTAATATACAGTATTAGTGCGGTGTGTATTGTCAGTGAGAAGCGCTGTAATATGTCTTTGATAGTACACATTTGGGCAATTCCACGTTAATGTTACGTTAGTCTGTACTTAACTATGCATTTCACTAAAAAAATGCAACATTTTAACTCGGTTTTGGTAGATTTTTACGTGACTAACATAAGGCTACTGTGGAAGTGCCCATTTCGGTTACAACGACTTTCGTTTATAACGACGCTATTTTTAGGTTCCTTTGATGACGTTATAACCAAGTTCTACTGTATTTCGACATCTGTCGCTTAATAGCTGTCAAGATCCTGATGACAGACGTTTGCAATTCTATTTATTATTTTCTTATTTGAATCAAAGTTCTGTCCGCTCATGAGGATCTGTGATAGCTTTCACTTCTCTTGTCGACGAAGACACGAAGTAAAAAGGCACACACATCTTTATGACAGCTTGATCAAATATTCCCAGATGACTGATCCTCGTTCTTGTTAAGGAAACACAGACCAACATAAAATGGCTGCATTTATTGCACGCAATTAGTAGCGCCTACTCATCCGTGACATTTCTTATCCAGAAAAACTGAAGAACACTCACCTAATGATGCTCAAATTTCTTCTAAATAACATGTAACAATCCAGATCGTACCTAACAGAAAACACATTACGTCTCCGCAGAAGTTAAGTAGTCGGGATAGCTCAGTCGAAAGAGCGACGGGCTACAGGATGGACAACCGAGGTTCGATTCGAGGCAGGGGTAAGAGATTTCTCCATTCTCCACCCTGTCCAGACAGGCTCTGGATCCCACCCAGCCTCCTACCCAATGGGTACCGGGGGATCTTTCCCAGGAGGCAAAGCGGCAGGGGCGTGACTCTGACCACTCACCTCCATCCAGTGCCGAGACCATAGGTCTTCATGGCGTGGGGCTTAATTAAATAAGCACAGGGACAAATTTATCTTTTACCTTCACACTCACTCATAAAGCTGAGACCTTCTTGAGAAGCTGCCAGTTGTGCAGCCACTTAACAACTTCCCAGCATTTTATGGAACCAGAGGGTTCATTACTGTGTTCACAAGAGCCCTCCACTGGTCCCTATCCTGAGACAGATCAAGCAAATCCAAACTATCCCACTCTATCTCTCTAAGATCCATTTTAATATTGTCCAACCACCTATGTCTTGGTCTTTCCTGTGGTCTCCTTCCTTCCGGCTTTCCCACCAATATCCTATATGCAGTCCTCCTCGCCCAAATTCGTGATTATGCCCTGCCCACCTCATCCTCCTTGACTTCATCATTCTAATTATATTTGGAGAAGAGTACAAGTTATGAAGTTCCTCATTATGCAGTTTTCTCCAGCCTCCTGTCACTTCATCCCTTTTGCCTTCACAACTCACACGAAAATAAATCACCGAGCGGTGTGTTATAGCGGTCACGCTATAGACTTGCTTTCGGAAATTTTTGGTTTGAATCTGTGGAAAATGTGGGAATCTAAAAAGAGTTTGACGTGGCTTTCCACAGCCACTCCATACAAATACCGAGAAAATGTCTCGAGTGGAGTATGTCGCCCGTCCAAGGAGTCCTCCCGTCTGTGTAAGACAAGATTACGGAACTGAAGAAGAGGCCAGGGCCCTACAAAGGGCTGTAGAGCCGTTGATGTTGAATGAATGGAGTCGACAGCTTCTTTCCAAATCATTTATAATTCATTCTACAATCCGAGTCTACACAGTATGAGATGCTGAGAGCGCCGTTAAACAAACAGGAGACTATAAAAACAAACTTCGTGGCCTGTACTCCGCAAGCGAACTATATCGGCCGAGCGACCGCCGCTTGTCGGCGAAGTTAGTGCCAACTTTAACGGATAGAGGGTGTCACGTGCTCCGCGCAACGGTTCCCACGGCCGTTAATCTCGGTTTTCTAGACCGGAGCCGCTGTTTCCTTTAAATACCTCCTCAGTTATCCTCACGAGGCTGAGTGAACCCCGTTCCAGACCCACTATTGCTCAGAAAATGTGGATCTCTAGCCAGGAACTCTGACCACTAGACCACAGAGGCGGTCAGACAGAAGGACGAGTTCCCGAGCCACACAGTAAGACACAGGAGTCAGAGTCTGTTTCTGGTTTCCCCTTATTGTAATCCTTGCTTGTCTTCTTTAAATATGCCTGAACCTTGAAAATCCAAGAGAAATCGTTTGTGTTAAGAAGTGTAAAAAAGGCATATCTCAGTAACACTGAAAATTCTACATCATTCTTGCATGTAGACAAAGGCAAAGAAGAAAG